CTGGGTTCAGGGGCCACAGCCATGATTTAACAGTTCTATAACCCGGGTTCACAGAGCACAGCTATCCATGATTTAACTATTCTCTAACCTGGGTTTAGGGGCCACAGCCATGATTTAACAGTTCTTTAACCCAGGTTCAGGAGGCCTGGGATGGAATAGCAGGTGAGTAGCAGGTATTAAATGTGTGTTGATGGAAATCTTCCCCAGGGTCTCTGAACTCACTAGAAAAGAGGTTTTGCTTTTATAGGAAATGAACTGACTTGATCTCTGCAACTTAGGTGAGAGATCCTGTAAGAACTCCTTCGACACCTGGTTTTTATTGACTTTTCAAGTAAAAATGTTCCCTCTCCCTATATACACATATTCACAGACTAATACTTTTTAAACATGACAATTAATAGGAATTTCAAGAAATTTGGAATCTTAAGGAATTAAACAGAAAAATGAGTTTCTAGCTCCAAGTTTTTTTATCCCTTTGTAACATTAACACCCCAGTCACAACTGCCTGGGGCTGTGTTACTCAGGACTGCTTCAGCCTTTTTTGGCTTCCAGTGATATACTGGCTTTATAAAATCATTGTTTCCAAGAGATCCTTCACTCTCTATAGTTCTGAACTGTTGTTTTTCTCTCCCGCTCTGTCTTACTTCCATAAGTGTGTTACTGATAGGCCATGATTCTTGGTCCTAAGCAAACACATTCCCAAACCATCTACTTTAGTTGCAACCACGTTCCTTGGAACTTGGAATCTGCCACCACAGACTTAGCATTATGAAATAAAGACTTCCACTAATCCACTTAGCATGCAAGAGGCTGTCCGTGCTCTGACATCAGTGTAACTATAACATTTGCTGTTTTCTAGAAATGCTACCTAGATTCTCATTTTCCAATATTCTTATTCTCCATTGCTGGTGTATTTGAGTAACAGAAGTTACATGTAGTGCACTAAAGCCAAAAATCTAATTCTTCTCTGAGAATACCTAAACTGCCAAGTTTCCTTGCTCATTCATTTAAAAGCCCTGGATGAGTTAGGTCCACTTTCATAGAAAAGAGTATTCTCTCCAAGGAAATAACCTTACGGAGTCATAGTAGAAATGAACGTGCCTATCTGCTTCACTTCTGATTGTATCATGCTCCAATTCTTAAGGTGCAGGACCAAACTACATAGGCTCTTTTAAAATTACTGATCCTCCTCAATACACAGCGCATCACACAGAAAGCATGATGATTGTTAGACACAGTAGAAGCCCTGTAAGCTGACCACCCCAGGGACCGTCACAGACCGCTCATCACACAGAGGTGGTCCTCGCAAGGAACTCGGCTGCTGTACTGATACGAACATGTGGTGCATGTCCGGTCTGTGAAAATCAGGTTCCCGTAAGGAAGCGGTCAGCTGTGGAGGTTCTTCTGTATATGAAATCCTTTCTTCTGTTGTAGGAATTGTGTGTCAGCCCCCAGGGGACAGTTGGAAAGGACACAAGGGTACCGGTGCTTCTCAAAGAAGGTGTCCTGACACACTCCACCCCAAATCTCTATTTTGCTGACTTTTAATCTCTTTTTATGAACATCAGTCCATTCATTTTTCCCTTAAAACTTTGTTTCTAATTCTCTTCTCTGAGGGAAATAGAGATGTCTGAGTTTCAATAAACAAATACATATTTACAGAGTATCCAAACTGTAATTGTTTCTGAATCTTGAAAAAGTACTAATATCAAGATGTAACATTTTTATCCTATCTTTACAAGATTTGCTTTAATAACATATGACTAAAATTCTATAATCTATAGTAACTCTGACTCATGACAATGTTTAATCCAAGTGGGTCAAGCTTCTGAAACTGTTCCAATAAAACTGTGCATAAAAGATTAGCAGGCAATGCCCAGTATTTATTCTCTGCAGATATTCCCGGTAAGGAGCACTCGGCCGTCAGTGGAATTTAATTCAGCAATGTTTACCTGTGTGTGAGCCTCCGGTGACTAACGCAGACTGCTGTCTGAGGATCCTGAGCAATGCACACTTTATGACGACTACATTTCATCTTTAAGCATGGATCTTTAGCTGGATCTAGAGCTAGAAAAGGGGAGGAGAAATAATGAAATAAGTTTCTGTGAAAATGGGGACATATAATCCCACTGAGCACAATTTTATTAAGCAACTTATATAGCATTTAGCCATAAAGTGTTACCACACGCCTCTTCTCCTGAAGACGTTAACAAATATTTGCACTTTAGTCTCACACACTCCATTCAGAGGCAATATGCACATGCCTCTAAGAGCAGCCAAAATGCAATCGAAACAGAAACTGCCGACCATAACTCTCCATAGTTGCTACTACCTGTTAAGAAGTAAAGGTGAAGAAATCAAGTTGGACTATTTTTTAATAGTAGAAAACTATAATCTATACTTCTGTTTTCCATAGGAAATACTGGTGGGGAGAGAAGTTAAATGAAATGAACAAACAAAAATATGTCAGTGAACAGTAATGAGTCCTGGATATTCAAAAAAGTCTCAAGCTGTGTGTGCTTCATTCAGTGGGCTGGCTGCGGCGTCACCATGAGAACTGAGATGTTCCTCTCGTCCCTAGACTGCGTGTGAGCCTCAACACAAACCCCTGTCTGGGGGCTCCAAACCAAGACTGTGTGATACAACTTCTGTCAGGGTGCTCCAGAATCAAGACTGTGTGATATAAACCTATCTGGAGACTCCCAAACCAAGACTATGTGATATGCTGATAGTTTTTTTTAACAAGAGTTCTACTGTCATGTAATTCACATACCGTGTTTCCCAAAAAATAAGACAATGTCTTACATTTATTTTTTTCTCACGAAAACACACTAGGGCTTATTTTCAGGGGATGTCCTATTTTTTATTGAGTATAATACAACAATCTACATTTATTCAAATACAGTTAAGTCATCTTCTTCTGGAACCTGACATGGAGAGCTCACCTTGTTGGTGGGGCTGGCGCTGGTGATGTGTGAACTCTTTCCCCTAGTCATTCGCATGTGCGCAATAGGATGCCTGTGACCTTGGTTACTATAGGCACACCTGCGCAAGTGCAAATGGCTTAGAGAAAGGAGCTGTGGCAGATAAAAGGTATTCCGGTCTTCCTTACCCATCCGTGGAAATGCAGGGCGTGGCTATGCAAATATGCTTCATAGCCACGCCCATCACTAGGTCTTATTATCGGGTTAGGGCTTATATTTAACAAATGCATGGAAATCCTGCTAGGGCTTATTTTTTGGATAGGTCTTATTTTCGGCTAAACATGGTACTATACAATTCACACATTTATAAAGTTTACAATCAAGGGTTTTAATATATTCACAATTGTAAAGTTATCACCACAACTTTAGGATGTTTTCATCACCATTTCTCTAGTTATCACCCCCTAGATTTTCTCCCCAACCCCAACTAGTACTAAACAGCAACTACCCTAATTTCTGTCTCTAGAGAGTTGCCTACCCTGGACATTTCATATAAACTGAATGAATATAATCTGTGGTACTCTGTGACTGGCTTAGATCATGAGACACAATGTCTCTGGGGTTCAACCTGCTGCAGCAGGACTGACGACCTCACTTCTCTATGTTGCTGAGCTACACTCCAGTTCATGGACATACCACACTTTATTTATCTATTCACTAGTAGACAGGCATTTGGTAGTCACCACAAGGCTACTGCAATAATGCTGTCATTGGCAATTGTGTTGGCCGGGGATAGTTGGTTGTGATTTCCTGATGGGAGAAGCCAGATTGGGAACTGAGCACTGGGAGCCCATCTGGACACCTGTCAACAGACATACAATGCAAGACACAACCTGGAAAAAAACCAGAGCACGAAGGAAAATGGAACCAGAAGAATGTGCTTTTGGAATACGCAGAAAAACTGGGCAGGGCCAATGTCTGTCCATGGGACAGAAAAGGTGGATTTGAACTAATATTTTTAGATCTTAAACCTTTGCTAAACTCAAGCTACTTTACAAATCAAATTTGCCTTTATGAATATGCCAATCCCAAGTATATTTAGTCACTAGCCTAACTAAAGTAAATTATGTCTTAAATATCAGTAAATTTATATATAAATTTATATTACTTTATATTACTTTATATACTTTATTTTACTTTATATTACTTTATAAGTATATTATACTTAGGATACTTATATATAAAGTATGAAGCATATATATTATTATATACTTATGAATGAGTATATATGTATAAGTATATTATATATACTTAAATCTAAATTTATATTTAAAGTATATAAACTTTATATAAGCTACATATATTATATGATATAAATATATATGCATTTAAATTTGTATCATATATAATAGAGGATATAAATATATACAATATATTTTTAAAGCAAAAAAGTGT